CGCGAGGTCGCACAAGTGTATCGCCGCTTCCCAGGTTTGCGGCTTACATCCATGGGCGCCGAGGATGTCTCCTGGTTCGTCAGGGAGATGTCAACTCCAGGTACGTACTTGCGTACGACGTGGGATGCCGCCCAGAGCGATCCAAACACCAAACCATTGTTTTCGGTCCCGCAGCTAAAGCTCTTGGTGCTTTTGGCGTCTCCGCGGCGGTCGCTTAATACGTGCAACTTTCCTGGCCAATGCCAGCAGCTCTTCTTCTTTTATGGACTCATGGAGTGGCGAAACATCTTCGGTCCTGAAGCTGGTGAGCGATCTGACGAATATGACCGTCTCTTCCCCCACTACGGATATCTCGAGGGTAACCTTCTTGACTGGCCCTTACCATGCAAACCAGAAGGCAGAGGGATTCCAATGGGATATGGAATCAGTCTTCCGCCCGGTGAAGAGAGTATGCTCACAACGGAGCGTTACGTGCTCAACCAGCTATTGTACTGGGATACACCGCCATACATCCCAAGTAGCCGCATATACCCAGGAACAACTGCGAAGGGCATAGCCGATATGCCGGCAGAAGTGCTCGACAAAATCTTTAAGCGAGTTGGTTTGTTCGGAGGCCCGATGATCATGGCACTGAAGGACCAGTCATCCGCACATGCTCCCAGTCGTTTCCACGCCACTTTCGCGCTTCCAACACACCGTATCAATATTGATAGATGTATGGTCAGTGACTGGGACACCCAACTTCATCCCTGCACGAAGATCCCCAAAATACTCGACCTCCGTAGAGTCTGCCGTAAATGGGGTGACATGATCCGAGACGTCTTCTTTCAGAACACATTCGTTTTTCGCTGCGAAGATCATGGACATGGTTCAATGTCCCAGAATGTTTGGGCCATTTCCACATCGATGAGAGAGGATCGATACAACCTGGCCGACTTCAAGATCCGCTTCAATCCTATCTTGACAGATGGGGTGGTACAACCTTTCGAAGGCTCGGATGAGATTGGCTTTGATTACGAAGAAGAAGTAGTTCACCTCGGAGCCAGCCGCAATACAGGCAGAATGATCTTCGGTACCGACGCTCCTTGCGACCGGACTTTCGTTAAGAAATGGATCAACAGCCAACTGTTCTTGGATGACGGAGGCCACCTGGCTGTGCGAGCCTTTCGTCTGAAGTTCGATCCTGGTACCCATGCAAGGGAGCTTTCCAATCGATGGCTCTCGGGCATCTTCCAGCACTTGCACCGGAGGGGCATTGGAGGTAAAAGTGCTGGCAGCAACACCTTGCTGCTCGACTGGAACGCTCGCGACCTGTGAACAGTCCGTCCGGGCGACCACATTTTGTGTTGTTTGTTCCGTAGATGCGGCGCAAGTGCTCGAGTTCTCCCGTGGTGACGAGTACGACCGCTGAAGCCGCCGGTGCTTGGAACCCAGCTGTTACTTCTTTGCTTGCCTCCTCCGCGGGGGTAAGACGGCGGACGATGCTCTGCCTGTTGTTGGTGGCAGTTGCGGTGCAATGGCGGTTGGGGTAGAAAGCGCGACGTCGATCACAATAGGCCTTCGGAAGAGGGTCGAATGTCGATGCCTGGTAAAGAGAAAGCAATTGGTATCGTACAGGAACCCTTCGATGCGGCCTGAAGATTGTGTTCGGTCAGCAAGATCGCCCCTTCATAGGGTGTGGGAGCGCATACCCAGAGAGTCGTCCGCTCCGTGGCCAGCTCTATAGTACTGAAGCAATCGAAGAGAACACCCTCGAGCGTAGTTGAAGAGGCAGATGAAGAGGCGATTTGCAAGAGTAGGGTGTTTGGTCCGAGTCTCGGAGAATTGGATCGCTCCGCTGGGACATCACGGCAACGCCCAGGCTCCCATTGAAGTGCAGCGCGTACTGCATGAACGCTGAAGCAGTCCAAGAAGAGCTATCTCGAACCTGCGGCCCAGTGGTGTGTTGAGATTGCGGGGGAGGTCGAGCGGAGGATAGTCGGCAATGAGGTCAAGTCCGCCTTATTTTCGAAGTCAAGCCCGCGAACAACGCGTCAACGATTCGAGTACCTGGAGAGCATTAAGAGGCGCGACAGCAAGCTCACTACAAGAGTACTGGAGATCCTGTTCTCGTTAGTAGCTGGCAAAGCCTTCTCCGCTCGAGCGTACAGAAGGCGGCCAGCCTATCCTGCCAATCGAGGTGTGCAGACAGGGCGGACATAGATGCGGTCCTCCAGCTTTAGATGGCCTGGCTCAGTCTGCTCTGTCAGTATAGAAGGATCCGGAACATTGAGTTGAGTTGAACAAGAACTGAGTTGCTGTGGGTCGTGACACTGTGAACTTCAGATCGAGCCACGGGCAAAGCTTCAGCCCTTTCCGCACTAACGATCGACCGCCACCGTGACCACCGGTTACGATTCAACCACCACAGGCAAACCACCTCGCCCTACATTCCAATGGCATCGACAACAAGCTCAAACGACGGAAATGAGGGAATTCCTAGCCGCTCGCGTGGGCTCGTCCGCAACGTTCTCCGTTTCTTCTCCTGCAAGTCGTCGTACAGGTTGCCAACGCACCCGTATATGCAGAACGGAGCTGGAAGAGGACAGCCTAGTCGTTCAGGACCACACCAACAAGCCGACTACTGCAGCCTCCCCCTGGGACTACGTCGTCACCCCGCGCGCGCGTCTGAGCATCAGCGCGAGGCCGTGAAGCATACGGGGGGCGTATAGATGCTAGGCATTGTGTGCGCCAATGGAGCCTGGAGTCCGTGGCGTGTCTTCTCGACGCCAGATACTAGAAGAGGATGACGCGGAGACCGTCAGGAGGTATCGAGAGCAAACATGGCGACAAACGAAACTAGTAGATGCAGACGACGGCGGAAGCATACGACACGACAAAAACGCGTAGGAAGCACAGGAAGAAGTTCAAAAGGAGATGTTGGGCGCGACATGTCGGAGGGTTCGCCATCCGACGCGAGATGAGATGAAGTTGGGAGGTTGGAAGCTATCTCTCTACCCCACCATAGCTCCCCATGACGCTAGACACACCCCTGCCTCCGATGCAGGCCGACCGAGCCTCCGATGACTCGCCCAAAAAATACGAAGACACGCTCAACAAGCTGCACTTCTGGCACAACACCACAATGACGACGGTCCCCGACTACTCACGGCCGACGACGCCCGACAACGGTCCCAATGGCCTTGTCTCGCCCCGCACGCCCAAGAACGGCCTCGCCCTGACCGAGTACAGCGCGAACCCGAGTCCGCCCTCGGAATCGACGTCTTCGCGAACCAACGATGTCATACCCGACGCCTTCCTCCTCCCCAATGGCTACCCCGACTACCTGCGCCTCATCCTGACCTCGCGCGTCTACGAAGTCGTGCAGGAAACGCCTCTCACCCACGCAACCAATCTCAGCAACAGGCTAGAATGCAATGTTCTGCTCAAGCGCGAGGATCTCCAGCCCGTTTTCAGCTTCAAGCTGCGCGGCGCATACAACAAGATGGCACATTTGGATCCCAAGGACAGGTGGAGGGGCGTTGTCGCGTGCAGCGCCGGAAACCATGCGCAGGGTGTGGCCTACTCTGCGCGCAAGCTCAAGATTCCCGCAACCATCGTCATGCCCTCAGGAACGCCCGACATCAAGCACAAAAACGTCTCACGGCTAGGCGGATCAGTCATCCTACATGGAGCTGACTTCGACGCTGCAAAGGCAGAGGCTGCGCGATTGGAGAAGCTGCATGGGCTTATGTCTATCCCGCCATTCGACGACCCGTATGTCATTGCAGGTCAGGGTACGGTTGGCATGGAATTGCTGCGACAGACAAACCTGCAAGACCTCAAGGCCGTTTTCTGCTGTGTTGGTGGCGGTGGACTCATCGCCGGAACTGGTGTATACATCAAGCGGATAGCACCACACGTCAAGATCATAGGAGTGGAGCAGTACGACGCAAACGCCATGGTCGAATCGCTCAAAGCCGGAAAGCGCGTCTTCCTGAAGGACGTCGGACTCTTCGCTGACGGAGCTGCGGTCAAGACAGTGGGCGAGGAGACATTCAGGATATGTCAAGAGGTCGTCGATGAGGTCGTCCAGGTCACAACAGACGAGACATGCGCAGCCATCAAGGACATGTTCGAAGACACGCGCTCTATTGTTGAGCCTGCAGGTGCGCTTGCCCTTGCGGGTCTGAAGAAGTGGGTGAGCCGCAACCCGTCACCAGATCGCAACCGTGGTCTGGTCGCCATTGCCAGCGGCGCAAACATGAACTTCGACCGTCTCCGCTTCGTCGCCGAGCGCGCCGCCATCGGTGAAAACAAAGAAGCCATCCTCTCCGTCACTATCCCCGAACAACCTGGTTCATTTGCCAAGCTCGTTTCCATCATCCACCCCATGGCAGTCACAGAGTTCAGCTACCGCTACTGTGGCCCTGAGTCAGCTCAGATCCTTGTTGGTGTCGAACTCAAGGCGGCGACCAGAGCCCGTGATTTACCCGACCTCATCGAACGTCTCGCCGCTGAAGGCATGACTGCCGAGGACCTCTCTCAAGACGAGCTCGTAAAGTCACATATCCGCTATCTAGTCGGAGGGCGCAGCAACGCCGCCGATGAGCACATGTACATGTTCGAATTCCCCGAGCGAGGAGGCGCGTTGTACAAGTTCCTGAACACACTACAACCGGGAATGAACATCAGTCTTTTCCACTACAGGAACTACGGCGGCGACGTCGCGAAGATCTTGGCTGGCATACAGTGTAAAGAGGAGGACAGTAGCAAGTTGGCCAGTTTCTTGAAGGATATTGGATACCCGTACAAAGAGGTCACAGATAGCTCAAGCTACAAGATGTTCTTGAGGCAATGAGATGGGAAGGATTGATGTAAGCAAAAGGCGACGTGTGTAAGGACAAGTGGTGGAACGAAGATATGAAGGAACAATGCAGATACCCCTTTCACTTTCTCACACTACTCACTATCTCCCAAACTGCGTGCATATTGCCCATCCCGACACCACAGTCACCCATCTACCAAGGCCAACCACCCTCCGCCTTCAAGAACCCTCCACACTCCTCATCTCGTTCTCCCTCCAAGATAGCAACCATGGGTTTCGCGCCCTCACTCGTAGGCTTAGCCCCATGCTCCGGTTTGTTCTATCGCAATTGTTAGCAAAAGTCAACCCAAATCAGCGAGGGATGCCACGAAACGGCCAAAACGTACCCTAGGCCCCAAGTTACTCTCCGTGAACCCCGGACAGAAGCAAAATACCTTCCACCCCTTGGGCCCATACTCATAGTCCTGACACGCAGTAAGCATATTCAGCGCCGCTTTGGAACTGCGATATGGCAACTGTCTCTCATATCAGCAAATGTCTCACCGTTACCCCAACGCAACCCCAACCACACCAATCTTACCAAAACAGCCGATTGAAAGAGCGGGGGCCATACATTTTTCATAGCCTGATGCGGATTCGTCCTATCACTCCTGAGCCCAATACTCCCGGCTCCACTCGACACATTCAGGATCCGCGGCGTCTTCCCCATCTCCGCGCTTTTCGCGAGGAGGGGAGCGAACGTTTCTACGATGACGGCTGGGCCCGTGGCGTTGGTTAGGAAGGCGGATGTCATGCGCGTGGCGAGAGAGGAGGAGGCGGGTGCTTCGCCGGTTATGGCGGCGTTGTTTACGAGGGCGTCGATGCTGCGTGCGATATCATCAGTATCATATGATGCACGGAAGTAAGAGTTGCAGATGGACAAGGAAATGGGATAGGTGTAAACATACCGACCATACTTCCCCTCGACCACATCCTTCGCTTTCAAGATACTCGCCTCGTCGCTCACATCGATCTGCAGCAACTCCACTTTTCCAGGCAAACTCTTCTCCTGGAGCTGTTTCACAGCGGCTGCGCCTTTCTCAGCGGAGCGACTGCCGAGGAGGATCAGGTATTTGGCGTTTTCGAGGAGTTGGGTGGCGAGGGAGAAACCGATGCCGCCGTTTGCTGGGATGATTTGTTAGTAAAGCTTTGAAAGAGGAATTTATGGAGTGAACAGAAGAGGGGGAGAGGTGGGAAGAAGGTATGGAGTAGGAAGTAGGGAGGTGTTTGCGTACCGCCGGTGATGAGAACGATGGTCTGGTCGGTAGAAGACATGTTGATGTTTCTTCGTTCAGTTACGGACTGTTTGATATAGAGCTGATTTTTCTCTTCGTGCTGATGTGAGCTTGATACTGTCTTGTTGGCGGCTGTAGCCTTCTCTTTATATCTTTTGGTCCAGGCCTCTAACTCCTGCCTTCTGTTTCCACACACAACCCTAAACTCTAAGACTACGCATAGCTTCTTCGGTAGGTTCATGCTCCAGCTCCACCGCCACACGCTACCTACAGCTAAACAACCGAAAGTGCAATAAAGCACTTGCACATTCTGCTGTAGTGCGCGGCTGCAGGACCGTGAGCATGCATTCCCCTTGACCGGACAGTAACAACACGTCTACGTAGTGCAAAAGCCACGCAAATCAGACGCGGATGGACCCAATGAGCACCCTCGATTCTCTTTCGAAAACCTAGTATTTCCCCCGACCATCCGCTGCCGACCATCCAGCACGGTGGAGATAGTCGGCGGACGGGGATAACGGAGTTAAAGACACGATCATGGAGTAAAGACGGCCACATACGACGCAAGGTTAGACTGTGAGCACATAGTTTAACCTCATGCGTCGCGTGAAATAAAGCGTAGTTGATCTTCCTAATCCATCTATTGGCTATCTAAGTTGTGTATTGATGTTGCAAGCCGAGGGCCGCTGTCGGCTGCGTGGTATCCTAATGATGCGAATTCCTCCTGACCCAAAAAGAAGAAACGCCGGCGCCTATTGCTGCGCCTTACCCAAGATGACAACGCCCGATCTGATGCAAATGTGGTAGCGAATGTAGGGGTGGTGTGTGGAAGGACATGTTGAATGGAAGAGAGGTAGAGCGAATGTACACGCTCACACCCTATCCTCTGCGAAATCCAACACCTCGCAATCGTCCTCGAAGAAACCCTCCTCGTCGCCGTCGATACCCTCCTTCTTCACGCGCCGACGTCGTGTGGTGACGACAACCTGCTCTACCTCCTCTTCGCCGTCTCGAAGAACAAGCTTGTTCTCGATCCTGGCGGCAACGCCCGTGATGTCATCCTCTCCAGAGTCATACGCCTGAGTGATTGGCGTGGAGATACGTGTTCCCTCTACGGTCTCACCAAAGAGCCATGGCGAGCTATCTTCGTGATGGAGATCGGAGATAAGTGCCGGTAACGAGGGCTGGTATTCGCTGCTACTCTCTTGAACCTCGGGTGCTTGTCTGGAGTAGACAAAACGCGTGACACGTTTGTCGGTGTAGAAGGGCTGGTAAGGAGGGTTCGTCTCAATCTCGGAGAAGCTGAGTGGTGCGAGAGATGGCACGGTAGGCTTGCGAGAAGGCAAAGCGCGAGGAAGCCAGTCACCGTAGCAGTCAAGTGTTGGCTCAGGATCACCAGGTTGCGGGAACAGTTGCTCCGTGACGGAGGGCGGTAGTGCGGTATCCGAGATGGGAGCAAGTCCGAACTCCACTGTCTTCTTCTTGGTTATGGATGCAGTATGCGATGATTTCCCCTTGCCTGTCGCAGCTCTCATCTGCACCCTCCAGATCTGAAGTACACCACCGGACGCTAGTGCGATCGAACCACGACCTCTACCAGAAAGCCAGCGTACGCTGTAAGGCTTGATACCGCTAGGCGATGACGGAAGTGTCATTTTGTTGTCGCCGGCATGCCGGATGTTGTTGATTGACTTGCCTACATTGGCAGCGACGGCTTTGCCAGATTTTGCGCCAGCGGCAGGGGTTACACCCAAGCCACTGAGACTGAATCGAGTTCCGCCGACGCTGTTCTTAGCGCGAACAGCATCAAACCAAGGCCTAGCGCTATTGACAGCTTGCATTGCTGAGTTCATCACACCAGCGGGACCTGTGGGGGACGCGACATCCTTTGGTGGGGCTGGTGCAGCTGGACGAATGCGCCGAGCTGGTGGCCATTGGAAGGCCGACGCAGGCATCGGGAACATGTGCACTGTTCCCTTGTCCGTGATGACAGCCAGTTTATCGACTCGAGGGGCAGACCAAACAACATCGATGACGTTCGCAACAGTCATTCTGGTGAAGCGAGCGACTTGTCGTACGTAAGGTCCTGTTGGCTGTTCCCTTAACGTCTTACGTGCTCTTCGGAAGTTCATGCGCTTCAGGTCCCAAACATCTTGATAGTCGCCCTTCTTGCTCACAGTCATGAGCATAAGACCGCTGGGGGCGAATGACATGAAGCTGCAACCGAGAGCCGCGGGTATAGTGGCGACCGGATGAAGTGCGTTCTTATTCCTCGTTTCCTCTGCGTCTGCCAGTCTCTGCAGATCATAGACGGAGATCACAGATGCCTCTTGTCTTGGCTGAGTCTGGTTGTGGCCATGGGTCGGTGGAAAGTAATGCTGCATGGGATCTTGACCATATGGCACGTTAGCTCCTTGCTGGCCCTTGTTCATGTAGCTCTTGAAAGCCTGCATTCCCTTCTCAGTGGCCCAACGTGCACCCTTGATTGCAACTTGTGTTCCCTCCCTGGTAAGTCTATCGATCAAACCTGCTTCGTTGGGCACATCGACAGCGCAGTTGGGTGACGGCTGAGGCGGTACGCTGTGGTGCCCAAGGCCCGGAGCGCGCTCGTAGTAAGGTGAAGTCAGGGCTATACCGTTGACAGGGTAGAGCGCGCTTGACGCTGGTGGGGTGACGGCGAGCCAACGATCGGAGAGCGAAAACACAGGCAAGCCATACTTCTCAGGAGGAATCTCGTCATGACTGCCGTCAACGGCACTGGAACCGCTTGAATGTATGGCCCGTTCCCGATTCTGAACGGATGTCCACAGTTTACCGATACAGCGGAATCGCTCTGAATATTCAGAATGACCTTCGTGGTAAGGCGCGAACACAAAGACTTCTCCACTTGCACCAGACGCCACAACAACAAACTTCCCCTTCGCATCAATGACGAAGTCGCCTACTGGAGGTGGAGGCTGAAACATGGGGCTATCGATTGGGCTCGTGAGAGGTATCAGGGGAGTTCGATACAGGACGGCCATTCTCCGCCTCTCCTTCAGTGAGTAAACTTCGACCGTGGTTTGGTAACCACTGATTTGCCCCTCTTGATTTCCATGTCGTGAGGACGGCCTACTAGGTGACTCAGACGCCGAATCGTCAGCCGCGGAGGATGCACCGCTTCCACTAGAGCTTCTGCTGTCTTTAACGACCGGACCGTGAAGGACGAGTGCGATCAGTGGACGGGAAGCAGCTAAAGGATCGTGCCGGGAGATCCAAGGCAAAATCTTGGCGCCTATCACAGCGCCCCGAAGTCCTTCCAGTCGACCCACAATGTCCATCTTGCTCTTTTCAACGCGGAAGACGTCGAGCCCACCTTGCGAGCCAACAAGCAGCACGTTCTCTGTAGTTCGAGCCGCCTCATCTCCGGCCATGGATAGAGTATCGAAGCCACAGAAGTAGCCTCCTTCCCCTGGCTGCATGCCATCGGACTGGCCGTTGTTAAGGCCGAAGTCGATGTTTGGCAAGCCATAGTAATGTGCTTGGGGTTGATGCGGCAGCGGCGGGTTCGGCATGAATTGTTGCGAGGGTGGGCGAACACCTTGTTGAGAGTACACAGATGCTCTACGGTCTCTACCCGGCGAGTTCTGTACGCGTCCGCCAAAGTTGGTATATTGATTGGGGTGGCTCAGGGGTCGTGCACCTGGAGGTGAGTTTGACATGGCCTGTGGTGCGTACAGCCCGTCTCGTGCACCAGGCGAGTTATGGAAGGTAGGCGGAGAGCTGGCTATAGCGATGCCCCCATTACCCGGGGAGCCGGAGTTTGGAAAGAAGGGAACTGACTTGGCCCACTCGTTGGTGTATTGTGCGGCCGTGTTTCGAGTGGCACCGATCGCCGATAGTAATGGAGACGTAGTGGCATGGTAGTTTGTGGGTGGAGACGTGGATGACAGACGTTTGGCTGACGAAGGTGACTTGGTTCTGTGACAGTCAGTCGCGTTTGAATACGAACAAGAGTCACCATCGCCCCTTCCATGTAGGGAAGGGTGGTGCTGCTTCACGTACATCTCTCTCGGGTATATGCGCGTAACCTTGCCGGCCGCTTTATTTCTTCTTCCCAACTCATTTCTCGACGTGTTGCGGCCGCGTGCTTGTGGTGTGTCCTGTACCTTGGTGCCCTTGCGCTGCTGCTTGTGCAAGTAGGTGAGGTTGGAGACGGGCGTCGTATGCTCGGCGGCGTTGTCGGGCGATGAGCTCATATAACCTGCGGAAGAGCGTGTGGAAGGGTCTGTTGGAGCGCTAGCTCAGTCGTGAGGAAGTGGTAGGTGTCGTGGGCGCGAGAGAGGTTGTGGGGGTAGCGACGGATGAGGACGGCGGCGGGTGACTTGGGATGAATGCTAGACGGGCGTTGCGTCATGCGCCTCCGTGACCAGGACTCGTGGAGGTGGCGGGCGCGTGCTTGCACAGCAAGACACTTATACACAACAACACTGGTGCCTTGTTCCTGACTCGGCGCGTTATCGGGGCCTATCTCTGGTAGTCACTCGGTATCGTCGGGAGGGTCGTTGTGGCTGTTGTTTGAGCCGCGGGGCTGGAGCTTCACGCGGCACGCTAGATATGGGGCCCCTCAGCGCGTTATGCAGAGAAGTCTGGATGGGCGCGCAGAGGTGAGTCAAGTTGGAGCTCTATCTAAGCTCCCAAGTGTTGAGATATGTATGCAGGGCGTCGTAAGTGCAGTTAGTTGTGTCGCTGGCCAGGTCGCGGTGCTGAGGGGCAGCTCATAGCTTATGCAGGTGCATGTCGCGCCCTCAGCCTTCCATTCGCCCACCACATCACGGCCGCCGGCACCGCCCTTTGCGCTGCTATCTAGCCCCTCTTTGGCCGACTCTAGTCATTCGCAGATTGCGCGCTGCTAGTGATGTCAAGTGACTGCAGCGAGCACGGTAGATGCCTGAGCAGGTTGTTGGGCAGCCACATGCGGCGTTCCGCGATGCATTCCGAGAGACTGGAGTGACGTCCTCCGCATGCATATCATGGCCCACATGCCGCGACTTGTCCCGCGCCTTGCACGTGCTTCCAAGGTTATATCTCCAACCTCATTGCAGCTGCAATGATAGCCAGTACCCAGCGGTGAGCTTAGTCTCTGCGATGTGCAAGGCCCGGGCGTCAAGTACATAGGCAGCGTCCGTTCGACTCCGTCGGATTCTGTCCCATCCACAATGACAGGCATTAAACTTATTGGTTTACATGCCCAGTAATCCGCCCAGGGGAGATTTGTCCCGAAGCTTATGAAGATTACCATTTTTGGAGCCGGCGACATTTATCCCAGGAGACACTCGCATCACCTCCCAAGCGATGTGGCTAATGTAGCAATAAACCTCGGGTAGGCTCCGGTACAAAAGTATGCAACTCCCAGGCTGAAAACCCTAAACCCATCCATCCAATATGTTTGCGTCCAAGTTCCTCAACCTCGTCTCCTTGACGCTCCTCCCTGCGGCTCTTGCCCAGTCCGAATACACAAACCTCCCAGCCGTCGCACCCGGCGTCTTCAACGCGACCGCACGCATAGAAATCAAGAGCACCGTCCCCGCCGCCTGGGACGTACTCACCGACTTCGCCAACTACGCAGCCTGGAACCCGTTTGTGCGTTATGCGCTCACTACTTCAGCCAAGGGCAACATCACCCTGCCTGATCAGCGACCGGTCGAGGGCAACTTCCTCTTCTTCCGAGTGCAGATTCCTGCGCTTCCGCTGCCGGTGAACAAGGACACGCCCGACAATCTCCTGAACACGCAGTTGTCCGCTGAGCGCATAACTCATGTGCAGCCCGAGTTGGGAAGATTGGCATGGGATTACTTGGGGGAACTCGCTATTAGCTCGACGCGTTGGCAGGCGCTTAGCGACATAGGCAATGGTACAGTGTTGTATGAGTCGATAGAAGTGTTTCACGGGTTGTTTGCTGGAGTCTTGAAGGATACGCTTGGAGAGAGTCTGCAGCAGTCTTTCGAGGCACAGGCAGAGGGACTGAAGTTATACCTTGAGGGTTGCTAAGGCTGTAAAGTAGGAAGCTACATCACCTCGTCTCTAACAATGCTGAACTCTTTGTAATATAGCACGTATGCAATTCCGATGATACGGCTGAATTGAGAGCCGGCACGATGCACAGTCGGCATGGTTGCGATGAACCCGACGGCGAATAAGCACTTCGGCGTTGCAAGCAACCATTCCGACCCCTGTCATCCATCCCGCGGGCATGCGCGCATCTCCACTGTCGCAATCGCACATGTGCAGTACACGCCGCAGCATCAGGCGCTCACCATGAGTACTTGTCTCAGCAACATGTCTCTATTTTTTGGCTGTCTATGATAGCACACGTTCTTTTGTCTTCCACTTGCTCCAACTACGCTTCGTCCGTTGTTCCACAGTGAGCGCGCAAGCCAGACAACACTTATCGCACATGTGCAGCCCTCGCCTTCCAGCACCATGACGATGACCCCCGAGCTCGAAGCCTTTGCGCGAGCCATATCGCGCGTACTGGGCTGGGCCTACTTCCTGTCGTGGTCAGTACCACCCACCTACCATCCCTCCTCCTGTCAGCCCCAGCTAACCAACCCCACAACAGGTCCCTATCCTTCTACCCCCAACCCATATCGAACTACCTGCGCAAATCCACGCTCGGCCTCGCCATCGACTTCCCCACCCTCAACGTCCTAGGCTTCACCTGCTACACCATCTCCACGGCCTGCTTCCTCTACTCGCCGACGATAAAAGCGCAATATGCGGCACGTCATCCTGACGCGCCCGAGACGACGGTGCGGTTCAACGATTTCTTGTTCGCGGCACATGGCGCGGTCATGTGCGTGATTATATACAGTCAGTTCTTTGAGAGGATTTGGGGCTTTGAGATTGGCAAGAGGCAGAAGGTTAGTCGGGTTATACTGGGGGTTTGGTGGGGGTGTGTGCTTGCTATTGGGGTTGTGGTGGTGTTGGTCAAGATGAATGGGGCTGGGCGGGGATACGATGCTGAAGGGTGGGCGTGGATCGATGTTGTGAGTCCCTACTTTGCGTCTTCTAACTTTACGGGATGGTACTAATATGAAGTAGATCTACACGCTCGGGTACGTCAAACTCCTCACCGTCTTCCTCAAGTATATACCCCAGGCCTGGGTCAATTACAAGCGCAAGTCGACACTAGGGTGGAGTATATATCCCATGCTTTTGGACTTTGCGGGTGGCTGGCTTTCGCTCGCACAGTTGTGCATTGATTCTGCGCTGGAGAATGATTGGAGTGGTGTTACTGGTAATCCAGTCAAGTTTGGACTGGGCAACATCACTATTGTGTTTGATATTATCTTCATGCTGCAGCATTACGTGCTGTATCGGCACCCGGGGAAGCATATTGATGATGAGGATGAGGAAGAAAGGGAGGGGCTTGTACAGGGCCGCAGAGACTAGTAAATATACATGCAAGGCTTCGTCGGGTATCCGACTTATCATAGCTCACGAGTTCTGGTCTTCATCTACCTTCCATTGCTGCTATGATATATATCGGTGGCACAGATGTGACATCAATATGCCATCTGATGACATCTCGACAACCCTGATGCGAGTCTAACGGCAATTACAGCCACCTCTCAAGCACTCTTCCCCGTAAGCTTCTCACAAGCTTCCCTATACTTCGCCGCCGTCTTCTCCACAATATCCTGCGGCACCTCAACGCCCTCCTTTCCCTTCAACCCCTCACCCGTGAGCCAATCCCTCAAGAATTGCTTGTCGTAACTCGGCTGCGCCTTCCCCAGATTCTTTTCCCACGACTCCTTCGGCCAGAAGCGCGAGCTATCCGGCGTCAACACCTCATCAACAAGCACCACCTCACCCATCTCATCAACGCCAAACTCAAACTTTGTGTCTGCGAGAATAATACCAACTTCCTCTGCACGATCCGCAGCAGCGCTGTAGATAGCAAGTGAAAGTTCCTCAACACGCTGCGCAATCTTCGCATCGCCAATCATGTTACGCGCTTTCTCAGGGCTGATGTTCTCGTCTTTGCCGCCTACTTCTGCCTTGGTGCTCGGTGTCCAGAGTGGTTCCGGTAGCTTCTGGCCTTCGACGAGTCCGGTGGGGAGTTTGATGCCGTTGACGGTGCCCGATTTGGTGTATTCGGACCAGCCTGATCCGGTGATGTAGCCGCGGACTATGGATTCGATGGGGAGGATGCGCAGACGCCGGACTTGCATGCTGCGGTCCTTGAGCGAGGTTTGGTCCTGGATTGTGGAAGGGAGGTCTGAGGAGAGGAAATGGGTTTTTAGACCGGGGACTTTGGTGGGTAGGTAATTGAACCAGTATATTGACATGGCGGTTAGGAGGGCGCCTTTTCCGGGGATGCCCTGGGGGTTTGTTAGTTTGAGCTCTTGACTTCTGTTCAAGGACATTTGATCTTTGGTGAAGTTGAACTTACATTCTCCATAATCACGTCATACGCTGATATACGGTCGCTCGCAACGAATAGTAGTGTGTCATCGTCAATGGCGTAGAGATCGCGCACTTTTCCAGAGGCAATCTTGGGCAGTTTGCCTTGGATGTCGATGGTGGTGACCGCTTGAGCCGACATTTTTTCCCGTGAGTTGATTTCTTGGTGTTGAGTTCGGGGAGTGACTGTGTTTGGTGGGGATTTATGCACGATCCCGCGTCGAGTATTTTATGCTTCAGCGGGGCCGCTGTGGCTTTCTCGAGGAAGGTGTGGCGGTGCTTGATCTAGGCTGCGATCGTTGCCTTGATACACGAGACTAAGTTATTCACGATTAGCACTGTAACATTGAGCCGTGATCATCGGAAACGCATGTGAACGAATTCAAGTTCGTTTGGAGTAGTCGTTTACTTCCATTGTTACGTGACTGCTGCTCCGGCCTAATCGGTCACAAGCCCCAGGTGTGCCGGGCGTAGATCGATTCACGCCTTACTTCATTCGATCGCCTAGCCGCATCACTACACCTCCAGGGCTCACCCAACCACCCCTTCATCACTCTACATCCTTGCAGCTAAACCAGATCATCTCTAATGTCGTCAGTTCAGTTCACAGCCCTGATACGTCTCCCGTTCATCCGGGGTGACTTTGAAGATCCTCCGCAGGTAAAGTAGCATCTGTCCGCGTCTCCGGGGCTCATCTGACCGCGACATAGGCGCAATGGGATGCTGAGAGAGACCGCCAACTATGGAAGGTTATTTCCAAGTCTTCCAAGACCAGTGATCTGAACTGTAAGTATCCAGGATTCAATCCAAAACCATCTCAAAGAAGTACTAATCTATCGTAGGGGTCGAATTGTATGTACATACAGGCTACGCACTGCATCAGCCTCACTGACCGTGACAGGGCCGACAAGTTTCAAGTTCCACCAACCTTTCTTCTTCAGCAAGCTGCATGGCTATACGAGCGACATCTAGACCACGTTCGTAACCAAATGAAAAAAGTCAGCATCTCGAATGCTGCCCCGTCATCTTCGCCGACTGGTGGTAGCACGCTGACTGCTGTGGGTGGGGTTGCGATGCGAAGGGGTGGTAGTGCCGGATCTGGAGGTACGTAAAACATCAGCATCATTTGATCTTGCTGACTAAATGTAGCTGGGAGGACCACATCCGCGTTAGCAGGACGCTCGAAGGACAGTCCGAGTCTGCGTGGCGCAGAGGTGGTTATACCCGGTGAGTCTCTCGACAAGCATCTTAGATGCCACAGTAGACATGTTTTCTGACATATTTTAGCACCTTCGCTCTCGAGGACACCGTCTACCACCACGATCACTCAATCCCGGGCACTTACTCAAGCACCAGCTCGAACTTTGTCTACACGCTCTACTCAGCGACCTAACTTGACAAGTAGAAGGTCTGAAGATCGGGCGAATGCACCAATCTCACCACCCAATTATCGAAATCACGAAGCAGCATCTCCAGACATTCCCGATTCGTCGTCCTCGAGCTCATCATCGCTATCAGATACTGATCATCCAGCGCATCGAAGCCAACTCTTTAAGCGCCCTCCGCGTTTCCAGCAGAAGAAACCGCGAGAGCTTTCGACGTTTGAGGAAGGAGACGGAACGCAAGAGATTGACGATTCAGGCTCACACGAGACAAGTCTACCCTTTGCAACCGTCAAGACACGACCCAGCAATAGCAAGTACGCGCAAGACTCACGCTTCCGAGCTAGTAGCAGCAAGGAGCAAAAGGTTCTGCAACCTGCCCGCGCAAGGAATGCTCCGCCCGTCAGACAAACGTCTATGGACGTACAGTCGATCGCGACCACAGAGACGGCGTCGTCAATGACCAGCTCTGGCGGTCCTCCCTCAGCGGCAAAGAGTCCTATGAGCCCTGCCTCGGACCACCGCGCGGCGCTAGGCCGACTCGGTAGTCCACGACGTGGAGGACTGCGATCCAGAAAGGAAGGTAGTGAAGGCACGCCGAGTATGGGCAGCAGCTTTAGTGACATCGATGGTGAGTCCTGGGATTATCCACCTTTAGATTGATATACTCACATCGGACAGATGCAGGTATCAGTCAGTCGGCTCTAGAGGAAGCGCTGTTGAGCAACATGCAGCATGGGAGGATGAGTACACTTAGTCGCATGTCGAAGTGGTAGGCGTGACGGGAGTGACTTGGTACGGTTCTTCGGACGCGATGGATCTCTTTCACTTCTACTACGACTCTTATTGTGTGCCGCTCGAGTTGAATCTATTGTGCAAGGCGGCAGTCTTGGCACTACTCTATCAACTTCGATTGCTACTCGCCATCCACAAACACCACTCTTACTACTAACTAAAGTCAGCTCACATAGGTCTAGTTGCCGACGCGATCGCTTCTCGCTCGTTAAAGCCCGTAGCAATGCCGCCACCACCCATCATCCTAGTAACAGACCACTCCACCACTCCCCCAACAGCCACACGCTACACATTCGGCCGCAACGACATCGAATTCCCCATCGCTTACAGGCGCATCAAATCCCTGCTCACCCACCCACCATGTCCTCACCACCCTCAATACCTCTGGCCCTGCGACGCCTGCGAGTCCGCCTTCATCACAAAATACTGGAAATGCGCTGCCACGCTCCTCGACTACTTCGCAGACTTCCACCCCATCGACACGCCCCTCATGCAATCGATCTGGTTTTACCTGCTGGATATCTGGCAAGAAAGCGCGCACATCCTTCCCTACGAAACCGTACTTGACGAAACCATCGAACACAGCGCCGCACTCATTGGCGTGGCGCGCGCCAGAGACTTTGAGAAAGCAGTCCGCGACACCATTACTTTGTTTGAAGTTACGATCTGGGGCCGGAGAACAGAGGCGGATTCGTGGGATCAGGTTATCTATGATCCGAGGGGTGAGGCTATGTGTCCTGTGGGTGAATATGACACAGGTCCCTGGGTTAGTGGTGTGAAGCCCTGGAACCAGTTTCTGGGCGAGGGAGGAATGGGTGTTGCGGCGCCGTGGTCTGCTGCTGCTTCAACTCCGACTTCACAAGACAATACAAACGGAGATGGAGGTGAAGCCATGAATGTCGAAGAAGAGAGAACAACAACACGCTACATCCCCCACCCCGCCATCGCCCTAATAGAAGGCCACACCGCGCGCTCCCGCCTCCTCGCCAATTCCTTCTACGCAAAACAAAAGCTCACACCCCCTCAATACAACGCCGCCCTCGCAGACTACGAAGCACACACCGTCGTCCTGCCTTCCAAGCGCGGCGAGCCCCACACATATACCTCGCGCTTCACGGGCCGCGAAACTACATACACGTTATCCAACGGCGCGCCGCCGATCATGCGCTACGAGGGGCTCGGCGACCCGCAGTTGGAACTTGCGGTTCCGGACGGAGATTGGAATCTGATGGATGAGTGTGTGGCTAGTTGTAGGGGGGTTACGGCGTATGTGGGTGTTAGTGGGGCAGATGAAGATGAGGAGGATGAGGATATGGTGGATAGTGAGGATGAGTTGGTGCCGTTTGATATGTGGACTGTGGTTGAGAAGGGAGGTGGAGGAGGGGGACGGGGCGAGGTGTTGGATTTGGGAGGCACTGGAGGTATGTTCGAGACTTGGTATGCGGAGGAATGAGACTGGATTGGTACGAGTATCGTAAGCGTATTGTCTGAATACTTGCGTTATATCAATCAACTCCATAGGATAGTCATTTGGAATATAGTTATGGTTGAAGTATATTTGCTGTATGTGCATATGTACAATACTAGCATTAACTCGCGCGCTATAGCAAGGTATTATGTTCGTTCATTACAAAATCAAATCGTGGATATCGTCGCGTAAAAGATCAGTTTTCCTCCATATGGTCCTTGTTGGGCCTCACCCACTTCGACCACTTCATCCTCGTTTAATATCAGTTTATGGAGAGTAATCCCTGGGCTTGCGCTGGGACTCGGTATCCAAGAAGCTACCCCGGCTGCGGTTCGACTTGGTAGAGCGGCTTCGGCGCATGCTGGAAGAGCGATCACCGCCGAGACGGCCTCCCAGGCAGAACATGACCGTGGCGAGGAAGTAGCAGGCGACGGCGGCCCAGGTGAAACCCATGAGGTATTTGCCGATGCTAGCTTCGAAGCCGGCGGAGCGGAAGGCATCGCGGCCCTTGACTACCCATGCGCTGATGTTTGTTAGTTGAAGTACTTTAGCTGTCGATATGTATAGACTTACGTCATGAGAGCTGCGGCCAGGGTCTGGAAGAAGAGAGCGACAAACGTCATCAACGAAGAGAGATATCCTCCAAGACGGCTGCAGAGCGCAAGGAGACCGGAGATGAGGGCAATGGCAGCGAAGAAGAGAGCAATCAGGTAAAAAGCAAACATGAAGCGAGACAGATAGTAGTACATGTGGGTACCGATGAACTGCTCGGGGATGTTTTCCTGGGTGCCAAAGTTCCTAGGAGGGTCGAATGGCAGCGCTGGGACAGGTGAGCCGCAGTTGGCATTGTTGCCGGAGTCAGGGTCAGCGCCGCAGATGGCGAAGAAGGTCCATCGCGATGGGTTTCGTGCGTTGGGGATGCCGCCGGTGGTGGCCTCGAGGAAGTAGAACTTGGTGAGAGGAGCCTTGTTGACGCCGCCGGTGAGGATGGTCAGGAATTGGAAGAGCAGGCCTCCAGCGACCAGGATCAGCGAGCCGAAAGCGAGGAGAGGTCCTGAAGGTGTGTTAGCAGATGCGCAATCGACTTAGGAAGCGACGGCCAACGTACTAGCTACAGCCATGGTGTGTGGTACCCAAAAGAGTCGTCGTCGCAAGGGTGTAGGTTATTAAGATTAGGATGCACGATAATGGTGCGATTACAGAGGATGGTTCGACGTGGCTAGCTGCGTTTCAAACGCGCGACGAAAAGAGGCCTGGCAAGCTTGTTTATGAGGTGCGGCCAAGCGGGTGACGTAGTGCACCTGTGAATCGGCTCTTTGTTGGCGTCGTCGACTAGCTCCCTCATCGCACAGGGTTACGGCACTATCGCGCGCGCTTTGCATCATCCCGAGGCTGCTCGACACGCCCAAGCAACCAGAGGGTCCGCGGCTTGTCTGCAAACACGCTGGCGGATGCGACGGATCGTGACGGAGGGCTTTAATGTGTGTGCAAGTGCGTGATGTGTTCGGCACGTGAAGAGATGGGCGGAGAGATGCAGGGATGGCGTCCTTCCTCGGATAGTAGCGAGATCCGCAGTGTGAGCAGTGGATCCTGGCCATCGAGGAGCTCGGGCTGCCCGACACCAACAATCTGCCGCATCGTGCCTTGGAACTTGAAGCCATCACCGCCATGTCGACTGCTGTGTGGCCGCCCATCGATGACGCCCGCCTCTCCCACGAGCAGGCAGAGTCACAAGCGCGCGAGCTCGAGTGGCTGCTGGTGCAACTCCGCGAGACGCTGCAGTCGCTCAAGGCTGGCCTGGAGGAGTGCGCTGCCCTGCTTGCGCCGTCGGAGAATGGCTCGACACTTGTGCTGACTTCGGTGCGCTCCGAGAGTCTCAAGGGCCTCATTACTCGCGTGGGCACGCGCATCACCAAAGGCGTACGTCCTCCACTCTCCGTCCCCATGCAGCAGCTCACACCGTGTAGAACGTCAAGCTCCGCCTCGCAAGCCTCCCACCGCCCAAAGGCTCCCTGACGTACGACCTCGCCATATCCGCTGCACCGCATGCGCCGACGCTCGTTGTGCCCCAGCTCACCTCGATTCGGACCTCCATCAACAGCTGCCTCGACGTCATCGACGTGGCTACCTGGGGCGGCGATGCCACCAATGCCAACTTCGTCTCCGGGCAACTACAGCTGCTGCACGATCACATACTGGAAGCGCAAGCTGCGCTGAAGGGCTACTCGGATGTCCAGCCGTCGTGGTGGGAGAATCCCGTCGACGACAAGGTAGGCTGCACCTGAGCACCCAACACGGGCACTGCTGACAATCACAGACATTCGACCCTCCACTGCCAGCGAATGTGTCCTTCCACCTGTTCGTCTTCGATGCCGCCCTCGTTCTCGAAATCCGCACTCTCGAGCCACACAACGCCGGCGACAGCACGTCGCTCACCGGCTTCAGCATCCGCAACACCTTTGCATCAGCACTTGGCGGGGCACGAGCACCTGCGCACGATGAGGCCGACCGCACATTCAAGTACAAGGACCACGACGTCCGCGTGAAAGAGAAAATTCGAGTGGAGAGCCAAGACCCCGCTCTGATATCCGCATCGGCAAAGCTCAACGCCTTAGGACACAGTGTGATGTTGAGCCGAAAAGCGCTCAACATAGTCATGGGTCGAGACGAGCAGATGGACTAACTCCGCGCAAGTCTGACAGCAGTCAATTGCACCATCGACCATTGGGCGGAACAACCACTCATATTTCGCCTTTTTCCGCGGGAATGCCCTAGTGCGATCGCGCCATATCGGCTCGTCGCTATCGGAACAAATAATGTGCCACGCGCATTATCAACACCGCCGAGGAGTAACCGCATCGACGATTGCCTCTACTCATATTACTGCCCCGCCTTCGTGGAATTCGAAGTTGCTCAGATTTATCCTCTGCATACTTCATCATGGCGCCAGCACTTCTTACCGCGGTAGACGCCACATCCCACATCCACCTTATAGTTGGATCCAACCCACTAGCAGGCGCACGATGCGCACGATCAATAGAGGTTGGCGCGAAACCAATACTGCTCGCGCCCGAAGACTCCACACTCCACTATGGACTTGTCAAGAGGATTGAGACGGGCGAAGTAAAGTGGCTAAATCGGAGTTTCAAAGACGACGACTTGACTACGCTGGGACGGGAGGAGGTGGACAGTGTAGTAGACGCTGTATTTGTTACTGCGGGCGGAAAACATACATCAGGTACGTGACATGAGAGTATGTCTCGAATTCACTCTAATTCGCCACAGCAACCCACATCTCGAGTCTTTGCCGGAGACTGCGTATACCAGTCAACGTCGCCGATGCGCCGAACCTCTGCTCATTCACCCTCCTCTCCACACATTCCGACGGCCCTCTACAGATCGGTATCACAACATCTGGAAAGGGATGCAAGCTCTCTGCAAGGATAAAGAGGGAGATTGCGGCGTCACTTCCACCGCGGCTGGGTGATGCAGTGGAGAGGTTAGGCACACTGCGGCGACGCATATGGGAAGAAGATCATGCGGCAGAATTGTCGCAAGATCTAGAGGCAGAAGAAGAAGACAGCGGGCAGCCAGCAACCTTCAATAAGCTGATCATGGAGGAGAGCAAGGAAGCTGCACGGGGACGTCGCATGCGCTGGCTCTCACAGATATGCGAGTACTGGCCTCTACGTCGTCTCGCCGGTATCACAGATGCAGACGTCGACATGCTGTTCCGCGAGTTCGCCAGCAGCAGCCCCTCCAAGGTCGGACCCACCGCCACCACAGCGGCACGGCGGCCAGGTCGTATCATACTGGCAGGCTCCGGCCCTGGTAATCCCGACCTTCTCACCCGCGCAGCACACAAAGCCATACTCTCCGCCGACCTCATCCTCGCCGACAAGCTCGTCCCCGCACCCATCCTCGACCTCGTACCCCGCCGCGCAACCGTCCACATCGCACGAAAGTTCCCCGGAAATGCCGACAAAGCGCAAGAAGAGCTCCTAGAGCTAGGTCTGGAAGGCCTGAAAGCCGGCAAAGTAGTCGTGCGGATAAAGCAAGGCGACCCATACATCTACGGCCGTGGCGGCGAAGAATACGACTTCTTCCGCGAGCACGGCTTCATACCCAGTGTGCTACCGGGTATCACCAGCGCCCTAAGCGCCCCTCTCTTCGCCGCCATACCCGCCACACACCGCGGCATTGCCGACCAAGTCCTCATCTGCACCGGCACCGGCCGCAAAGGCGCCCCCCTCGATCCACCCGAATTCGTAGCCTCCCGCACCCTCGTCCTCCTCATGTCTCTCCACCGTCTCTCTGCCCTGGTCGAAAGTCTAGTCGGCAAAGCATACCCCGCCGATCTCCCCGTCGCCGTACTAGAACGCGCTTCATGTCCTGATCAGAGAGTCATTAGGACGACGTTGGAACATGTGTGTGCGGCAGTTGAAGAGGAAGGCAGCAGACCGCCTGGTCTCCTGGTCGTGGGCAACGCGTGCAAGGTGCTTATGAAGTATGAGCAGAAGTGGGTTGTGGAGGAGGGGTTCCATGGCTTGGATAATCTGGGTGGCGATGGCGAGTTGGAGATTAGTAGACTTGCTGAGGCGGCTATTGCTGCGTAGGTAGTAGTTGTGAAGAAATTCAAATTTGATACCACATGAAAGATCTTGGAGAAACAATGTGTTGATATATGCAATTCTTGTCTTGATGTCTCTATGCATTCAACGTTCTCATAAATTACCAGGCTCAAATCTTGCCTATCCGTATACACATCGTTGACCTCTGAGGAGGAAGACTCCGCTTCCTACAACCCCTCGTCTATATCGCTCTCATTATTACCATACTATACATTCCGTGAACTTCGTTCTATTCAAAAAGTTCTTTGCGCCGTCGTGCCAAATGCCGTGATACCCATGAATCCGTAATGTGGAAAACAAAATATCCTCCAAACGCCGATGCTAAAAGTCGATTTTGTTGTGTGAAACTCGTGA